GATGACCAAGTTGCAAAACTATTGTCAATTCAGTTAGGAAAATGTATTTAAAGACTCTAAATTAATCTAGTTTAAATTGGGTCAGATTTAAGTTCACTGAAGATCCAATGACAGAATGAATCCATCAAAATACATTTTTTTTAATAAGACAAACATAAGGGGAAGAGATTTTTTTTTCCAAAGGCCACATACCTGGCTGCTTGCAAAATGACTCTCGTGTTATTAGGCGAGTGGCATTATCTCAGCTCATCAGAACATCGGTTCTAAAAGGACAGGACAGCCAGACAGGGCCAGGAAAGACTGCACAGTGAGTTCATTCTAGATTTTATGTTTCAATAGACTTCAAAAGCACTACAGGTGCCCGACACTGCCAAAGGGTTCACAGCCTAAGCTTGGAAGAGGGAATGAAGACAGTGGTTGAACATTCCAGCCTCTGAGTTTAGGAGACAGATTATTAGACTTTTCTTGAAAGAAAAATTTAATCTAGAAATGCCAGGGAGAAATGTAATATCCTGTTATAAAGGTCAGTAATAAGTCACTAAATGAAAAGATTACTAAAAGAAGAGTCCAGAATCTGACCGGATATTTCACAGGAAGTCAGGCATCAACACATGCATCTTGAGCCCTGCTGTGTAAGACCACTTCCCAGTCACCATGTAGATCTTTTTTTGCTGCAAGGAAACCTTCACATGCTAAGATTTTAAGCAACTTCTAGGCACTAAACTTGGTTTCTATTGCTTTCTGTACAGGCATGTTTTATGATAAAATTATTTAATTGGAGAGCCCATTCACCTCTTTGATCTTAAACAAGACTCTTCTTTCAGGTTCTCAGGGTCTCTCTGGTAGACGAAACTCTGTGTAATCTTACTTTTGGTAATTTTAGTGGTCACTGATATTTCTCACTTCTCATTGAGACTGGATATTTGTGTTTGACTTTCACGGTAACTGTAAAAAATATAAGTTCTTATGCATTTCTGATAGCTACCTTAAGATAGCAATTGCTAATGTCTGCACCTGGGGAGTAGAGAGATGTCTAGCATTTATCAAGATGGACAGATTAGATCAGTATAGACAGATGCAAATGATTAAGGAGAATCTACATGCTATTGTATGAGAATAGGCATTCCTGCTTTCTTTAATTTCCTGCACTTGAACTTTGCCTGTTTTTCCATTAACTAAATCAAAGACTCTCTGGGGCATCATTGCAGCTTACACTAATGAGGGTGTGGCAACCTCTCAGACTTACTGGTACTTTGTGTCAGCTACATCTCAACCACAAGGAGTACTTGAAACAAGATTTTGACTGACAACCAATAAAAGGTACCCAAAACTCAAGGTTTCAATGGGGCGTTTCATTTCATCACAAGAGTGCTGTGGTATTTGCTTCCTAAGGATCCTCATCATGTTCTTCTATAAACCGGACGGGGAGGTGAGGAACGGTCAACACTGGACCAAGACTTGGTTGTCCCAGGTTTGAGTCATGGCTCCCTTCAAAGAGGCTGTGCAGCTTGGCGAAAGCACTCGGCTCCTGAGAGCTTTATTGTGTCCCATGGAGACTGTGTGCTTAGACATGATGTCACTAAGTTTCGTCCAGCACAGAAACTCTGGCATTCTCTAAGTACTGTTACTGAGTACTTCTTATGCAATTGAAGTTCATGTCTGGCTTCTGAATACTATTTTCACAATTTGCCTAAAGATGTAGGCAATGCTATTGGTTGTATAAATTTTATTAGGGAAGGAACCACTGGGGGCTGGACAGTTATTACCTGAATGAAGCCTATATTTTATCAAGTTAATAAGATCATAAAAAGTAGCCATTGATCAGATAAGAATTTTTATCCACATGCAGTGACCATTCATGCTACAAATGAGATGTAAACATTCCAATTAAACTTCCTGGTTCTTGGAAAGTAAAATAGGTGACTAAGCACACAGATATTATCTCATTCTAACTTGAAAAAAACGCATTAAGATTTAAATGCGTATTTAGGACTAACCTACCCTCATCATTTTGGCTCTCACAGTAATAATGTTATCCTGGTGCATGGAACACAAATCGGTTGGTTTATTTTATTTTATTTTGGTTTGGGTTTTTTTTTTGGCGGGGGGGGGTAGTTGGTTTTCTTTAGCAGACAAATTTCCAGAAATGCAATGATAGGTGGAAAAACTATTATCTGATTTTTCATTTGTACTAAATAGCCAACCCTAGACAGTATTAAATGATTTCTTTCAGTACTGACTATTACAGAAACTATTAAGGTCCTCATCAGACTACAGGTTATATGGAACTAAATCTCACCAATGTTATTTTGTTGCTTTGGTTGGTGATGGTGTAAGCGGCTGAAGAACTGTATAAAGTCAGTACACTATAGCTGAAGAACTGCATAAAGTTGTCAGTACACTATAGCTGAAGAACTGTATAAAGTCAGTACACTACAGCTGAAGAACTGTATAAAGTCAGTACACTGTAAACTGAGTGGACACATTTGTATTTTTTCTTTTAACTTACTCCATAGTCCATGGCAGGAATTTTACATGAATTTTTATATCCTAACAGATATCCAGTATTATGTCATCCTATCATCTATAACATTAGCACAGTTTTTTCTATAATACCCAGGTAGAGAGTTGCAAGATAAAAATCCTACCCTAATCCCTAGGGCTCACTGGGCAGCTAGCCTAGCCTAATCACTAAGTTTGAGGCCAATTGAAAGACTGTCTCAAAAAAAACAAGTGGATGGTACATATGAGTAACACTCAGGGTTGATCTCTGGCCTCCACACACACAGAAGTACACACATGCATCCACACCCACACAAATACACCAGGCACATAGACACACAAAAAATCCTGCCCCAAAAGCATTTCATGGTTTTTAAGACTATGGTGCTTTTTTTTTTAAAAAAAAAAAAAAAAAAAAAAAAAAAATGAAAAAGAGGGAGGGGAAGGGGAAAACGCCAGCCTGGTCTACATAGCGAGTTCCAGGACAACTGGGGCTACAGGGAGACCCTGTCTCAAAAAGACAAAAAAAAAAGATACGTGTCTTCCCTCAGAGGCTTCTGCATCCTAAACCCCTAATCTGATGAGGCGTTCCTATGTAGTGCCAATGTAGCCAGGGAAAAGTTGCTCATGGTGCAATGGAACCGTTGACTGGGTTGCAGTGATGTTTCCTTCCGGTTTCCAAGTGGGATCACAGTTGGAATTCCCCACTGACTCAGACCAGTTCTGATGATAGGCTGGGAGACAGCAGTGACAGCGTGAAGCCTTCAGATATTACTTGCATGAGAAATGTTTGCCCTTCCTTTCTATGTAGAAAATTACACGGTTAACAAGCGAAAAGCCATTACTTGAAATACCTTCAATTACAAACAAAAGTGGTATAATTAGACTTGGAATTGGCATCTCTACCTTATGCCTAGGAAGATGGCAGCTGCTTTACTCAATAATTTTTATAGGCATTATCCAGGGAAGAACTGCTTATTAATAAGTTGGTCCTAGGTGTACAAATGACTCCAAAATGGACATCAAAAAGACAGGTCATAGAGACAAAAAAAGCCTTGCTCAGTAGCTATCACTGTCAACATAAATACAGACAGAATAGCATGAATTCTAATCTTGCAGTCAGGCCAGGTAAGGACTTAGAGTCTATCTATACATCACCAGGAACAAATAGTAAAAAAGGGGGAAACGGCCCAGAAAAATGTCTGGTACTTGCTAAAAAATAGCTGGCAATGGAATGTTGCTTATTTTATTATTCCCCTTGGAATTGAAAGTACCATGACCAGTCAGAACGTTATCTGTCATATTTTTGTCACCAAACCATTTCCAGTAAATGAATAGATTTAGTTTCTAACATGTGTCCTACAAACACCATTTCCCACTCACACATCAGTAGGCTGCTTTAACATGTGTAATGGGCTTCAGAGTGAGCTTGGGTATCATAAACTGAAACCAGAGGAGTTGGCTTTCTGGGTTCAGGTCTGTTTTGTATTGCCATTCCATCACATTATAGCAACAAATCATCTTACCCTTAAAGTTATTTCAGCTTATTACAATAACTGAAAAGTAAAGGCATGTAAGTAAAAATTATTTAAGAGAGAAATAAATCAGACCACTCATAATTGAAACAGTCTATGGATGAACCCAATATTTCAAGACCAAAACACTCTTTCGGTTTTATCAATATCTACTCCCTCTCCACCGCAGGTACACATCCAACCTGTGTGTGTTTCTTTTATAATGTCTGATACGCTCTGGTCTTTTTTCTTTTTCTGTTACCCTGTTTTATGTGTAGCTTGCTGTTAGCCCCACTTTTCACTGTGCTTTCATAAATTATCACAGACACATATTTATCTTGGAGGCACCTTCACATTGCCTGAAATGGGGCCTTCCACGAATGTAATTTATTATAAGAACACCAGAGAAATAGAGAAGATGAAAACCTGTCTGATCACCAAGGTCCACAGAAAGTAATCCATTTCGGACATCCACACATCTGGTTATTTTGCTCCCTCAACGGCAGGTGCCTCCACCTCCCTTTTCTAGTGTTCTGTCACTGTGATGACTGGTTCAGCCAGTTTCCTCGTACGTGGGTGTCTTTTAGCCAGGCTTCCAAGCTAAGCCACATCAGAGGAGAACGCCTGGCCCACATACGCTCTGAAAAGATGACTTTCCCAGGCAAGAGATTTCTCCAGTTACCCAGCAGCCCTTAACAGCTTTTCAGCTTGAGGCTCATGCAGCTGTGTGACTTGGTACAGCTTGACAAGCTAATGCTCCTATGCTCCTTCTGAACCACTCATTCACAGGTCTCTCCCTGGATAGTGAGGTGTCTCCTGCCAGGGCTGAGGTCTCAGACTCAAACATGCTCAGCTCCTTCAGGGAGGCCTTTATGTGAAGTGATGGACTAAGAGGAGGGCTTGTCCACTGTAGCTATCTTCAGTAAAGCCAGCTGAGCAGGGAACCACAGGAGGGTACCACAGGACCTCCATCACCTATGCTAGATGGTGCTGCTAGATAAGAAATCTACCCAGGGATCAGGCACTGCAGCTGACCTGGCTTTCAAATACAAAGGTCAGTAACAGAGAAAGGCTGTGCAGTTGTATGCAAGGATGCTTAGCTGCCCTGGTGGTCATTCTTCAGTTGAGATGGGCTCCGTGGAGAGAGCAAGAAGCATTTTCTCTCTATGAATCAATTTCCACATCTGGTTGATAACTAGTGCTTTCATATATCAAGGAGCACCACGAGCACACTCTCTGCAGCACAACACTTCTTTCGCTCTCCCTTCCTCTTTACATTAGCCGAGTCCATACCCTTCACATTTTGAATCATTTTAGATCAGAACCTGAAACAGCGAGAGCCGGGGGATTTGTCCAAAGTCACCAGCTAGCAAAGGACAGAACCAAGATGGACTCTCTTCTTCTTCTTCTACCCCTAAGTCTTGGGAATTTGTGTCTCTACATTGCTTTATATGAGATCAAACCGCAGCTAAAGGCTAAACGCTATGCGGAATATCAACTATTTAACCTCAAGTGTATACTGGTTATCACAGCAATGCTTCAATTCCGAAAGGTATTTTTGCTGAAGTGTGTGATTCCTTCAAATGGTACAAGTGCAAACACAGTTTTTTTTTCCTTTTAAATTTGTTTTTGGGGCTAGAGAGATGGCTCAAAGGTTAAGAACACTGGTTGTTCTTGCAGAAGACCCAGGTTTGAATCCCAGAACCCACATGGCAGCTAACAACTGTCCAAAACTCCAGTTCCAGGGGATCCAACAGCCTCTTCTGTCCTCCACGGGCATTACACAACATGGGTGTACTTACCTACACATAGGCAATACATGCATATACATAAAAATAATAACTAAAATATTTTTTAAATTTGTTTTTATTGAATTTTTGTGTATTTTATACACAATATCTCAAACAATCTTAATCATCTTTATACCCCTGTCCCCACTGGCACCCTCCCATAGCCTCCCCCACTGGGACCCATTCTGCCATTCATGTTAAGACCCATTGTATCAAGTCTGTATCCCCCAACGTTCCCCAGTGCAAGTCCATCCACTAAGGTCTAGTCAGCATATCTAGAGTCTCTTGTTTTAGGAAAATCATCTCTTCCTCACCTACCAGTAATCAGTTACCAATAGTTATTCAGCTAAGATTGGGGTCTTCTGTTCATTTCCCCAGTTCTATGCTGGGTTATTGTCTGCCTGAGTGTGCATGGGACTTGAGTATGATGACACCATTGTCATAGAATCATATGAGCAGGGTCCCAGGAGCTTGTAGGACTCTGTTTCCATATGGCCTTCCCCCACGTCCCCAGCTCTTACAATCTTTCCACCCCCTCTTCCATGATGGGCACAGTTTTAAAGGAATCATTTTCTAGATCCTGAACTTCCCTGTGTTTGTGTAGATGTCCACACCTATAGGGAAGAATATAAAAGCATATATATCCTCAAGTCAATATCTGAGCATGCTTATTCACTAACTCAATTTAAAATGTTTTTAAGAATAGATTGATTTGTGGATTTAGGTCATATAATTCAGAATAAGTTTAAAGGATTTAATGAGCTGGTCCTGATGGGGAAAACTTGTAATCCCAGATACTCAGAAAATTAAGGCTTAAGCCTGCCCTAGCAGCTGGTGGGATGCTATCTCAAAATAAAAAGGAAAATATCTAGAGGTAGAGCTCAGGGGTAGAGTAGTGGCCTAGCCTGTCCAAGACCCTGGATTCAAACTATAGAAGCTTCACTCTTCGCTGCTGAAAGAAAGAGAATTTAATGACCTTGCTAGAAAACTGTTCTGATATTATCTACTTATTAACATGAACAGGTTCTCTCAGGACTTACTACTTACAACTGAAAAATGAAGCCAAATAAAATGCTGAACCTTTTCAATCCTAATGACATACTTATTCATAAATTAATTCTGGAAAACTCCCATCTTTTTGCAAAATATTTCTGATACATTTTTACTTTCTACACTTAATGCTTTCACATCAAAATTTCCATATTTGCTGTTTGTTCAATTACACAGTTCCTTATAACTGTAGAGCTGCCACCTCGGGCTCTTACAACCAAGTTCTGGTGGGAAACCAAGAACAACAGCAATAGTCGGTATCGTTTCAGGGTTTGTGGAAGCCCTGTGGTCAACAGCTCCAGAACATGTCCATTCTTGGCACTGGGCTTTTTATTTGCTAGCTGGTGGTACTGGGTAGGGCCACTGAACTCCCATTGTAGAGTAACTACATTTAAACTCTTTTTATATTGTATATGTATATATTTTAAGAAGTGTCTATAGTATTAGGTTCCCATCTGACTTGTTACCCCTCCCCTTCCATCCTCCTCTACCTGCCTTCCCACTCCTCACTCCATTTAGCTCTTCCTTTCCATTATTACCATTTCCCCCTTTATATTTCTTCATTCTCTCTCCCCGCCTATGAACTACCCCTCCCCCATAGCCCCTTATTAGTTTCCTGACCTCTATGGATTTTCAAATTGAAATACAGCTATCTAAAGATTGGAAGGTAACATCCACTTATGAGAGAGAACATATGATGTTTGTCTTTCTGGGTCTGGTTACCACACTCAGGATGATTGTGTCCAGTTCCATCAATTTACCTGCAAATTTCATAATTTTGTTTTTCTTAACAGCTAAATAATATTCCATTGTGTAAAGGTACCATACTTTCAATACCCATTCATCAGTTGATGGGCATCTAGGTTGTTTGCATCTCCTGGCTATTGTGAATAGAGCAGCAGTGACCATGGATGAGCGGGCATCTCTGTAGTAGGATAGAGAGTCCTTTGGGTGTATCTTCAAGAGTGATATGGCTGGATCATGTGATAGATCTGTTTTTAGCATTTTTAGGAACCTCCACACTGATTTTAAAGAATAGAGTCATTTATATTTTCTCTAGTGGTTGACAGTGTGCATCAAATGACCATGGTATTTAGATTTCATTACCTACTCTTAAAAGTGATATGTTTTATTTTTTACTTTCAGTATTTGTAATACTTTAAAATTTATCCTTTGTGTTCTTTCCATCTTATGAGAGATTGTAGCTGTCAGTCACTATAGAAAGATTTGAGAAAGCATATCTTTCATTTCAAATATTCTCAAGATTTCATGAACAAAATCTGTGGATATCAGCTATTCACAGTCAACACAAATACCAATACTTACTGAGAGTCCTGGGCACAGATAAATGTTATCTGAATTCAGACAAACATCAGATAATTTGAAAAAATACTAGATGGTTTAAAAAAAGCTTTAGGTGTTGAATAAGTAACAGTCAACAGAATGGAGGCTCAAGGACATGATCACTTGCTATTTTAGCACTGCATACATACGTGCAATGGAGTCTTGTAGGCTTGAACACAAGCGGAAAGCAGGGTGAAATTGTTTCCACTACAGAAGGAAAGTTACCTGGCAAATCTCTACTTGATGCATAAGCACAAGCCAGCTAGACTCACTCTCACCACTTTCAAGTTAAAATTAGGTTATTGGCTGATTATAGCTCTGGCTGTGACTAGCGTCCCTTGTCCTCAGCAAAGGTGAGTGGGGCAAGCAAGGGATGATGCTACTGTGGTTCTGTCAGGCTTGAGAGAGTGTCAAGAAGGGAGGAAGGGAGAAGCCTGGGAGAATATCAAAGAGAGGGAGAGGACAAGCAGCAAAGAGAGACAAGCGTGGAGCTCTGTGTGTGTGTGTGTGTGTGTGTGTGTGTGTCGAAGAGAGACAAGCGTGGAGCTCTGTGTGTGTGTGTGTGTCTGTCTGTCTGTCTGTCTATTCATAGATACTGAATGTGTGCACATGGGTGTGCATGCACACAGACATCAAAGGACAGCCTCTGGTCTCATTCTTCAGGCGTCTGCACTTTTTATCAGAGACAGGATCTCTCAGTAGCTTGGGACTTCACCAAGTAGGCTTGGCTAGCTGGCCAGGGACCATCCAGGGTTCTTCCTGTCTCTACCACCCACCTCATCATCCCTGGGATTCCAAGCACAGGCCACCATGCTCAACTTTTTACATGGGCTCTGGGAATTAAATGGGTCCTCACACTTGCAGGGCAAGAGCTCTACTGACAGCCATCTCTACAACACTTTCTTAGTAATGGTGTCAGGTGCCGTGCTCACAGACCTGACCTCACCACGGTAGGGTTTCTAGCCTGCTCCCACTGAAAAGGTGGCGGAGCAATGCAGATGAGATTTAGTCTGCAGTCCTCACGGTAGAGCGTATGGGGTTCTTAGTTATTCTAATACCCAGTAACCAGAACAAACCACTACTTGTGAGATTTATAAGGTAACCACCAAGACATATGTCTAAATGCATTCATTGACAGGGAACTCCGCCATAGTCATCAGTGAGTGCAAAAGAAAAGTCACAAATTCATACGAGTTTCTTTCGGTCAAAAAATTACAATTGCAGGCAGGGCTGGAGAGATGGCATAACCACCAAGACATATGTCTAAATGCATTCACTGACAGGGAACTCCACCATAGTCATCAGTGAGTGCAAAAGAAAAGTCACAAATTCATATGTAGAGTTTCTTTCGGTCAAAAAATTACAATTGCAGGCAGGGCTGGAGAGATGGCTCAGCAGTTAAGAGCCCCGACTGCTCTTGCAGAAGACCTGGGTTCAATTCCCAGCACCTACATGGCAGCCAACAACTGTCCGTTAACTCCAGTTTCAGGGAATCTGACGCCCTCTTCTGACCTCCGCAGGCACTGCACAATACAACACATGTGCACTTACATACATGCAGGCAATACATTCATACACATAAAATAAAATAATTAAAATATCTTAAAAATTACAATTGCATATGCATTTGCAGTGAAAATTAAAACCGTCAGTCTTTCAGTGGTAAGACTCTATGTAATTCTTTTCTTCTACTAAGCACAAAGGAGTATGGGAAAAAGCACAAAGTACATTGGAATACGGACAACGTTCCACCAATTATTCCTCACAATGATTTCCTGTCTTCCTTGCATTCTGTCTTTGCTGCATTCTGTTTTATGAAAATGTTTTTTTTTAATTTTTTACTTATTTTTTTTTTAATCTTCTGTGTATGAGTGTATTGCCCTCATGTACCTAAGTGTATCTGTGTCATGCAGTGCCCACAGAGGTCAGAAGAGGGGGTTGGATCCCCTGGAACCGGAGTTGCAGACAGTTGTTAGCTGCCACGTGGGTGCTGAGAACTGAACCTGAGTCCTTTGCAAGAGCAGCCAGTAGTCTTATCCACTGAGCCATCTCTCTAGCCCCTTGAAAATGTTTTATGACATATTTTGAGACAGGCTTTCATATTCATGTAGCAAAAGCTGGCTTCAAACTCACTGCGCAGCCAAGGGTGAGCTTAAATCTGTGATTCTCCTGCCTCTGCCTTCTGAGTGCTGGAACCACACCCAGTCTTATGTGGTGCTGGGGATCACCAAGGCTTTGTGCATGCTAGGCAAGCATTCTACCACCTGAACTACATTCTCAGTCCAAAAACATATTTATTTTATACATGGCATATATATGTGCATCTTTTTATACAATATGTCATATATTCAGCATATTTTTCCATCCTAGAGAAATATTATTTCCCATTACCAAGCCTAACTCTTTTATCTTCATGTTTTTTGTTGTTTTTGGTTTTGTTTGTGGTGATGGAGATGGAAACCTGGGCCTCAGTTCACGCAAAGAAATGCGATAGCACTGAGCTACATCCCAGGCCATCACATCAAATATCTGCACATCAAATCCAGCCATTCCTAATTTCTATATCACGACTCCAACTACCTCTTTACTTTTTCTCCCTACCCCTTTCTCCACTACCCTCTCCATCACTCTTTCTCCACAGAACCCTTCTCCTATCCCTGTCCATCATGATTTCCCAACCTAAGAAACAGTCTCAATCTAATAATTTAATTAACCCCCTGAGCTACATCAAGCCACTCATGTTTCTTTTATCTGCCAACTTGTTAAAATATAGCCCACAATTGCTGCTTCCACTTTCTCAGGAACTTTTCTCTTGACTCCTTCAACCTGAGATATCTTACTTGCAAAAGTTAACAACGACCTCCTGCTCTGAGATACCAGGATCTTCCCAGGGCCCAGGCTCGTTGACCTCGGTACAACCCACAGGTCGTTAGATATTCCTGCTCTAACTCCTCACCACTGTGCTGCCCTCATTCCCCATCCTTCTAGATGCTTCTGTTATCCTATATCCTTTCTCAACTCTCCCTAATTCTCAACCCTCCATGTTTCTCCTCTTCCTTACACTAGACTGCTCCAACCATACCAGAACCTTGTCCCTTCTGTTTTCTTGACTGATCTCAGCCCTCTGCTTTTAGACATTTCCCTTCTGTTCCCTGCACAAGGACAAGAACTCTCCATGAGTTCTCTGTGCTCACTTCACTTGTCTTTTTCTCTTTTGAGATGGGAGCTCACATAGCTCAGGCTAGCCTCTGACTTGTTATGTAACTGAGTATGAGAGTATGACCTCGAACTCCTGACCCTCCTGTCTCTACCTCCCCAGAAGTGGGAGTACAGAATGTGTTACCACACCTGCCCTTGTTTATCTTCTCAAACTGTTCCACTTGATGCCCTCACAGAATTTTCTGACTCTCCCTCCTTTCACATCCCTCAGCCTATGAGCCCAGTCAAGTCTTTGCTGATATCTCCATTCCTGCTCAGTGCCTCCTCAGCACAGGCACTCATGCCGTGTCTCACTTAAGCAAGTGCTGATTCCCAAGTGCCTCAGCGTCACACATTCCTCTTGCATCTTCCTTTCATGGCAACAAAACATTTTAAAGACAATGCTTTTGTCACCCATAGACTTTCCTGAAGTCCAAATCTGTAACAGGCCTAAGGCAGTTTACGGTCTGCCCCAAGCTGGCATTCCAAACTTCATCTCCATGGTGTTTCTACCTTCCTGGTAATAAGTGTTACCATTTCTGCAACATCCTCTGAACTTTAGTGCCTTAGTACTTATGGTCTTGTTTTCCTGCAGCTGAAACTTTCTTCCTCATCTTATGAAACATCTTAGGAAAACAGTCTTATCCCACAGACCTTTTCAAATCCTACTCCCCTATGAGACCTTTCTCCAATCCACTTTGATAACCTGAGTTGTCTGGTCTTCCCTTCCACTGAACTGACAGCACCTCTGTAGGGGCGGGTGTCCTAACCTATCTTGCTGGAGAGTCGTGGGGCAGGGAGTGTGGGTGTGGTGTGCATGTGTGTATGCATACATGTAAAGGTACTCTCATACATGTGCATGGGGAGGTCAATGTCACAGATTGTCCTTTGTTGTTCTCCACCTCATTTTTTGAGCAGGGTCTCCCAGAAACTGGAGCTCTCTGCTGTTTTGGCTACAGTGGCTGGCAAGCCCAGGGAGCTTCCCTTTCCCCAGGGCTGAGGCTACAGATGGGTGCCGATGTGCCCAGCTTTTCCAGGGTTCCTGGGGATCCAAACTCTTGCTTGCACATCAAGCACTTTAACCTCTGAGCCACCTCCTCAACCCTAGAGCTACCTTTTCATCTTCTTGTAAAGTTCAAAAGCCTTTTGAAGACAAAAAAAGTCAGTATTACTTATTTTCTACTAACATAGTTTATTTTACATTATTAATTGTAATAACAAAAGAGTACCATCAATATTTTTATAACACTGCTGCCTTTAAATTATGCAAATATATGCTAACTCTGTGTTTTCTCAAACAGGTGATGCTGGAAGTGAATGGTGAATTTATTGTTGAGGTAATATAAAACAGAACTATTTTATCTACTTAAAATTAAAAGAAAAAATGGATTTTATAAGGCACTATATATCAAAGAAATAGAATACTTGCAACAATAATTGCACAGATAAAATACAAGAAGCAGAACCTTAACTAAACTCAAATAGCAATGGTAAAACCCATAGTTCAAATGTCCATGCTTTCAGGGCACGTTTCCCTGCAGCTCAAAATTTTCATAATTTCTACTTATCAAACTTTGCTAAGAGCTTATTTCAAATTCCCAAACCTGTAGCAAAGAAAAAAAAAAAAAAAGCCCTTTAAATGGAAGAGGATTTTTCAGGTGCATCGATGAGAAATACCACTGGTACTCTGTAAAAGCAGAAAGATGTAAAGTAAAAAATACACAATCGGAGAATCTGCTTCCATTTAGAGTAGGGCTCTGGAAACAAGCTTACAATCTGCTCTAGTATGGGACTTTAATTATGGTAGGGAAATCTTCACTATGAGCATCTCAAATCCCTGCAGAAACTAAAATCATGTTTCTACGCCTTGTTAACAAATAGA